TTGACTCTTGTGTCCAAATGCTTGAAAGACCAGGAAGTGTTTTTCCTCACTAGGCCTTACCTTCAGACTTCTGTGTATGTGTTTTACACTTTTTGTTTCAACAACACTTTCTAGGTGGTGGTCAGTAAAGGGTAGCCTTTCCCTGGTTAACCTCTTGACCCTTTTTTGACCCAGTTGTGTTAGATCCAGTATTAGCAACTTGTTTTTTCAGTGGCTGCATTCAGAGTGAGGTGCAGTGAAAGTCCAAGCCCAGCTCTGCCACATAAACACAGTGATAACCTAACTAGAGCAGCCTCTGGCTAAGAAGGCCCAGCCCTGCTCTGCCTGTTTGGGCCGGTCCCTCTCTGAGTGATGGCTTACCTGTGGAATTCATCAAAGCTTTTTTTATACTCCCATTGATTTGAGAGCAATAGCTGCGCACTCTTACAAAGCGTGGTGTGTACAAATGCAACTCCGCCATCCTCACCCACTTCAGCTGAAATATAATCAGTCTTTCAGGCTGGACGCTGCCTTTGTGCAGCTCTCTATGCGGTTCAGTCTGCCTTCTTTCCTATTCTTTCTGGACTGTATTTGCCAATGGGGGGGGGGGAGGGGGGGTCACAAACTGTTTAGCAGCACTATTGTCATTCTGAAGGTCCTTGTGTAAACAGGGCATGATGGTTGCATTTTGATGCAGCCCCTCCCCTGAACAATGACAAATCACACTGCTATTGTTTAGCCTCAGGTGTTCAATTCTGATTGCCAGGAAGTTCTCTGTTGCACAAGAAATGTGGTAAAGTGTGTGCACATCAGCATGACAGATTGTTAAAAACATCGGAACAGGGTTGAGAAATCATCTGTTCCTGATGTATGGCGTTGGTGCCAGTTGTATGAAAACCAGCAGTCTCTTTGGACAGCAGATAAACATTTAAAGTTATGTTTTGTTTGGACACAAAAGTAACCAAAAATTCCAACTAAAGCAGTTTACAGTCCCAAAATGTGCGCCATAACCTTATGAGAGGCATTTTATTGTTTAAAGGTGCAATTTATTTAGTGATTATTTCACTGCAGAATCCTTACAGTCTAATGTCTCAGTGGTGGTGGAAGGAAGGTTGTATTGAAACTGATTTCATTCTCATCCGGCTGGGGGGTTGTTTGCTTTTCTTGTTTCAAAAAAGAAAAACCAAAAGGGGGCCATAGTTACTGTTTACACTCTGAGTTTATGATGCGGCGAGCTGATACAGCAGCGCAGGCGTTTGTAATTCAACACCAACAGGCAAAATGCTCCAGAGTTGTGTAAAGAACAAAATACTGAACTTGGGGAAAGTGGTCAGGCCGAGCATCATCAGTCCGAGTTACGGAGTGGTGTTCCTGGAAAAACACCTACAGTGAAGGAGTGGTTCAGAGAGCATGAGACATCATTTTCACACATGGATGGGCCACCACAGAGTCCAGACCTTAACCCCATTGAGCATCTTTGGGATGTGCTGGAGAAGGCTTTGTGCAGCGGTCAGGAAGCGGGATGCAAAATCAGAGTCAGTCTCCAAAAGCAAGACTGTTCAGACCACTTTTGTTGACTTCTCTGTGCTCTTTTTCCCTGCCCATGTGCTTGGTGATGCGCTCATGACATCACAGACCACCCATGTGCTCAGTCACGTCTGTATTCCTAAGTAGGGTTGGGCATCGTTTGGAACCAGGACCAAACAATAGTTTTTATCAGAATCATTCAAAGTTTTTTATTTCAATTCCTAGTTTGGGTTCCTCGTATGCCGACGGAAGAGGAGTCCACGGCCGATCTCCGTGGGAAAAAAAAAACGTCATCTGCAAATTGTGATCAAGGCTTTCCAGAGCTGATCACACTAGCTGTCTGTGTGCAGACAGAACATGTTTTTGTCTACACGAAGGTGATGTTATTGTTCATAGAATTAAAATTCATGTTGAAGTTACAATTATTTCAAGTAGGACCTGTGGTTAGCTGGCTCATTTAAACATGTAACGTCTTGAAAGAATCGGAATCGGGAATCGATAGGAACGGGAATCGAAATGGGAAATTGGAATCAGAATCGGAATCGTTCTAAATCAAACGATGCCCAACCCTACCTAAGGCAGTGTGAAACAAACACGGCCGGGCTGGGGCGGGTGGAGTGGAGCCATTGCTAGTGTTTAAGTGGCAATAGAACAGTGAAAGTGGTGTGGTGGCATCAGCTGGCATAGGCCAGATGATGCCCGCACTGCCCACTCACCACAGCCATGGAATACACCTCATCAACACTCACTAGCACCATATTGGAGCAGATGGAGAGTGACTAGGGGTCTTAGCACACCTTTGTTGTCGCTTGGCTTCCTGGGGCTGGAGGTTAGGAGGGAGATCCGGCCGTCCGGTTGGGGTCTGGGGTGGTGGGTTGCTGTGCTCAGCGTTGGGCGGGGGAGCCTGCTCATCAGCACCCCAGCAGAAAGGGTCGAACTCTGGGAACCGTTAATGGTTTTAAATTAAGTAAACACCTTAAACTCCTTGTCTTTGTTTACAATTTCTTCCAGGGTGGTGCTCCCCCCATCTAGCCACACTCCTGAACAGACATTCCCCATCACGCGCTCTGTGCTCCTCTGACCAAGGCCTGCTCGCTGTCCCTCGTTCTAGGTGTCGTACTCGCGGGGACCGGGCTTTCTCAGTCCTAGCACCGTCACTCTGGAACCAGTTGCCACCCTCAGTTAGGCTGTCCCCACCTCTGCCAGCCTTTAAGAGTTGCCTAAAAGCCCACCTCCTCCACTTGGCGTTCCCTGAACGTGTTTGAATTTGGCCCTCTTTTATGTTGATTTTATTTCCCTCTTTTCATTGGTTCACTCTCTCCCTTGTTTTACCCATTTGTCTTCTACTAGAATGTTTTACCCTTTTTTGTAATTTTTGAATTGCTTTTATTTTCGATTTTTTCACCATATTTAACTTTCTCATGTACCGTGTTCAGCGCCTTGGGCTTCCCGAGAGGGTCGCAGAAGGCGCTTTATAAATAAAGCTTTGATTGATTGATTGATGGTTGTATCCCATGTGCAGCAGTACCGGGACCAGAGTGAATAGGGTGTGTATGGGGACCATGAGTGGGTGTCTGGCGTGCATTTTTGTAAGTCTTAGGTTGTATGTGTATGTGTGAGCATGAGGGAGGGAGTGTGTGACTGTGTTTGTGTATGACTGTATATGTCAGGTGGGGCCTTTGACTCCTCCCTTTTCCTGGAACTTCTTTTGATGCTATAGATCTTCGCCTCACCTCCCTCTGCCACACCTGGTGTGGAGTGCGGTGCCTTGGTCTGCCTGGGTCGTGGCGCCCGGGTCAGGGGGTTTAAGATTTTTGGCATCTGCCTGACCAATCCCGGTGGCTGCCTGGTGGGGTCTGGGTCCATGGGCTCTGCTAGGTCCCTGGCGGGGGTGGTCGCCCCTGGGTCCCGGGCTCGGCCGGCTAGGGGGTGGGAGGCTGCGGGCGGGCCTGTGGGCTTGCCGCCCATATCTCCCGGGACTCTGCCAGATGCTGGTTGTGGCCCCCCGGGGCGATCCTCTGCGCCTCTCGAGGGGGACGGGGGCTTTTCTGGTCGCAGTCTCCCTGGGGTTCCTGTGCTCTGGGGCAGCTCCTGGATCTCTGGGACTTGGAGCTCCCTCCATCTCCTGCCCATCTTTGGGGGGCAGATCTGTGGTCCCTCACACTCTCTGTTGGATGCTCCTATAGAGAAACCTTACATAAACAAGCGCGTGTACACACACAGGTGCTCACATGGTGCTCTCATCAGTATGGACTTGGGCACGTTCAACACATGTCTTAAGGCTGTGGTTGGCACTAAATGCACTATGATTTATTATCGTGTGATTGTTCAGTTAAACAAGGTTGATTTTATATTTCTTCATCAAGTTGACGCAGTGATAACTTGATCTTGTTGTATTGTTGTTGTGTCCCTTTTTTCCTTCTCTCATTCTGCAGGTCTAGAAGCAGACTCTTGTTCATTATTGTTTATTTTTGTGGACCCCCCCCCATCTTTTGTCTCTTCCATGCTCTTTCACCTCTGTCTCCGTGTCTGGTCGGAATTAAAAAGCATCAAAAACAATAACAATAAAGTTTTAAGTATCAGACGTGACATTAAAAGCAGACGCGTTGATGCTCCACCTGAGAGTAAATCTGTAAGGCTTGTTACCAACATTCAGACATCCATTTTGTTTGCTTCACAGCCAGAAAGGACACACACACACACACACACACACACACACACACACACACACACACACACACACACACACACACACACACACACACACACACACACACACACACACACACACACACACACACACACACACACACACACACACACACACACACAAAAGTGGCAATAGAAAAAGGTGTTATAAAGGTGAACGCATTGCGAGGAGATAAGTTTCACTTTTGCTTTCACAACAGTAAATTAATAACACAGGGGGCGCTAAAAGCAAGCCAAAACTACAGTCTCTCTTTAAATAGGAATGCAAACAAAAACATTTTACCAGCTTTACTTATCCAATGAAACCTATTACATCCGACTAAAAAATATCAAAGTTACAGTTGAAGAAGAATTCTGATAAACAAGAAATACTGAGGACCCCCCCCCCCCCCATCATAGAAAAAACACACCAAATAACATGATTTTTACTTTTTACATCCAGTTCTAAACTTTAAATACATTTCAGCACTGTTTTATGTGGGGAGAAAATCTAAAACTAAAATATAACTAAAAGTATTAGCAAGTTCCTCATTGCAGTCTTAAAAAACTGCTGGGTTTTCCTCCAGATCTGGATCCAGATCTGAGTCGGCGTCAGGACCTGGAAGCAGCTTCCATCACAGAGCGGTGTCTATGACCTCCAAAAACATAAAACCAATAGATCAGCTCCCTGTCTGTGCAAAACTGCTGTTACAGATCTATGGCTCAAAGGTGTAATGTTTTCACATGAGTGGAAGTTCACTGGCCATGGAAGACACATTGTTATGTTTGTTTTTGTGTGTTTTCAGAAGAGAAGGAGAAGGGATGCGTGTCTTCTGGGACCGACTGAGGGAACCCTCCTTTGTCTCCAAGTGGAACCCCTTTGCCATCGACTTCCCATACGTCACTTTCACCCACCACCCTGTGAGGACCATCAACGACACCTTTGCTGCGCTCTGTGACGTAGGTCCACCGATCACTATTTGAAGATATTTTATTTAATTTGTTTTTTTATTTATTAACATATCTTTATAAGGAGGATTATTGTGAGAATTATGCATTTTATTCAAACTGTCACAATTCACTGACAGTAAAACGGGTATAAAGCTGTTATAGCGAATCTACAGGAATCTACAAGCTAGGTTTTGAACGCAAACTCGGTCCTGGAACACTCCCTCCCTCCCAGTCAGGAAAAGTTATTCTGGTAAGCTACAGACTAAGTTTTTTGGAGTTGTATAAATATATATGCAGCTGTAAACCTGGCAGCTCATTGTTTTAATTTTCTGTAGATTACTGAATTATATTGGGAAAGTATGATGGAGCTATAGTCAGCTGAGAGCTTGTGGTGGCAGAGCTACGAGCACAGAAATGAAATGGTCAATGAAAGTTGAACTGTACAGATTTTGGTTCTGAAGATGTTCAGCTTCCTCCTTGGTGTCTAGATCAGCTTGTTGGTCTTCTCAATCAATTGTTTTCGATCCGGTCGGCACCTCCAGCTTTTCAATTACCCTTCCTGGTCAGTAACAAATTGGTGCCTGTGCTTGGTTTAGCCGCGGTCACAAGCCACTCTTTCAACCTTTTCTCTTCTAACCTCCTCCTTTCCACCTTGCTTCTGACTGCGATCCTCGGTAGTGTCCCGGCTACCATCTCTTATGAGCTCCAGACACTTTTGTCCTTCCGTTTGTCTGTGATTGCCCCAAGATGTGCCGAAGATTTAACTCCCTATCTGTTTACGTGAGCAGTGCGTTTGCCGGGAGTCAAACGCTGCTTCCTACCCGAACGCCTCCAGCGATGTCTATCCAACAGAGGAAAAGAGTTAATGAACAGGAATCCAGTTTCTGCGTCCCCACCTCCTGCTCGCCGTCTGGTTAGTTCTCATTTTCTTAATGAGAGGTAATTTTCTGCTGCTTCTGATCCACCCTGTTCTTCTGATAACGACCCAGATTCCTTAACTTCTCAGTTTAACGAGCACTGCCTCTCCATTCTGGACAACATCTGTCCTGTCAGAACCAGATCAGGTCCTGCAGTGAACCCTACTCCCTGGTTTAATGACGGCCTTCGCAGCCTGAAGCGCCAATGCAGAAAAATTGAGCGTTTGTGGAAGAAAACCCATCTCCACGTCCATCTGCTGCACCTAAAGGATCTTCTGACATCCTTTAACTCTGCAGTCAGAGACGCCAGGGTTGCCTATTTCTCCAACCTGGTGTCCCAGAGCAAAGGGAACCCCAAGGTGCTGTTTAACACCATCAGCAGCATCGTGTCTCTCCTGCCTCTCCTACAGCCTCCATCCACTCTGTTACAGACTGTGAGAACTTTCTGTCTTTCTTTGTGGACAAAGTCAATAAGGTTAGATCTAGCATCTCTCCTTCAGCCTTATCGCCGCCTCTCCCGACTCCAACCAGGCCCATCATCCTAGATAGCTTTGCTCCTGTTTCTTTGCCTGAGTTAACCAAACTAGTTAACTCTATGAAGACCTCTGCATGCCCCCTCCACATCTTACCCTCATCTTTGTTTAAAAGTGCTTTTCACTCCATCGGTCCCAGCGTGCTCTCTATAATTAATGCTTCTCTGGTCTCTGGTCAGGTCCCTGCTTACTTTAAGAACGCTGTAATCCACCCGCTTCTTAAAAAACCGAGTCTCGACCCCTCTCTCCACAGCAGCTTCAGACCCATCTCTAAACTTCCGTTCATCTCCAAGATCTTGGAAAAGGTTGTGGCTAAACAACTCACAGCTGCTCTTGATGAACATAACATCTATGATAGCTTCCAGTCAGGTTTTCGTAGAGCTCATTCTACTGAAACAGCTCTTCTTAGGGTCTCTAATGACCTTCTGACCCACAGTGATGCAGGGGACTGATCTGTTCTGGTCCTGCTGGACCTGACTGCAGCCTTTGACACTGTTGACCATCACCTGCTACTGGAGAGGCTGAGAGACTGGGTAGGCCTATCAGGATCTGCTCTGGAGTGGTTCTCCTCTTATCTCTCTGAGCGCTCCTTTTCTGTGGCCGTCTCCAAGTTTAGGTCCTCCACCACCTCCCTTACCCATGGTGTCCCACAAGGTTCTGTGCTGGGGCCTCTGCTCTTCCTCCTCTATCTGCTTCCTCTTCAGCACATCCTGAGCTCCTTCAAAGGAATCTCCTACCATCTTTATGCAGATGACATCCAACTGTACATCTCCTTTAGGCCCCATGAGATGTCTTAAGCTGCAGCTGTTACACACCTGCTTAGACTATCAAAACCTGGGAGGCTGGGAACTTTCTAGCTGAATCAAGATAAGACTGATATCCTCGTGTCCCCCTCCCCCTGTGGAGTCCACAGTGATGCAGGGGACTGTTCTGTTCTGGTCCTGCTGGACCTGACTGCAGCCTTTGACACTGTTGAGCATCACCTGCTACGTGAGAGGCTGAGAGACTGGGTAGGCCTATCGGGATCTGCTCTGGATTGGTTATCTTATTTGTCGTAGCATTCCTTCTCAGTGGCCATTTCAGTTTTGGTCCTCTGCCACATCATTCCTCTGTCTGGAATCTTAGTCTCACCCTGGATTCTCATGTCAGTTATCTTGTTTGCGCCTCCTTCTTCCATCTCAGGAACATTGCTAAGCTGGTTAGGCCTACTGGTTGTGCAGCACCAGGCTAAAGACCAAAGGTGACAGATCATCTGCTGCTGTGGCCCCCAGACTCTGGAACTCTCTCCCCCTGAGCCTGAGATCAGTGGACTCAGTGGTCTCCTTCATCACCACCCTCTCCTTATTCTGCTCTTATTCCACCTTTCTGAGGATCTACTGATTTCCCTCTTTCCTATTAATTTTCTCTCTCTTTCCTTACATTTTTTAATCACAAAACATTTTTTTATTTCAAACACATTTTTAATAATGTTTTTTTTTATATTTTGATTTTTTTGTGAAGCTCCTGGTGATCTTTATCTTGAGAGGGCCTGTATAAAAGATCGTTTTCTTTCCTTCTTTCAGCTAGCGGGTGGTTGAAGTTCAGTTGAACTCCTCCGGCAATCCAAAATCTGTTTTCATTCCCAGAGAAAAAAAAACCTGACCGACTAGCAGAGGTTTCAGAAGTCCCATCTGACTGATGATGCATCGTCCTCTGCTATACTGCTGATGCAGAATAACTGGAGCTGGGGACTGTTTATGCTAGCAGGGAGTTCCTGGTGAGACGTCACCAGCTGCTCGGCGCTCGGACTGGAAACGATCTTCTGTTTTTGCTGCACTATTCAGAAAGCTCTGGATTTTCTTAAATCTCCCGCCGTGGAGATCCTAAAACATTTTTCAGTTGAGGTTTTAATAGATTTGTGATTGAAAGGCAGTGCGCCTCTGGCCGGTCTCTTTAGTTAACGTTGCAACATCGTTGAACATTATCTGATGACGGTTCTGAGGGAAAAGTGAGAACCTGAGGGAAGCACTCTGTGGTAGCTCAGTTTGGAGAATCAGTTTTTTATAATCCAGATGGATATGGGAGCTGTTCTGAGTGTGGTCAAACAAGTCATTACAGAGAAGAGATTACCTGGAAACGGGTATCAGGTTGCATTTCTGTGTATGTGGTTATTTTCAACTCTCAGCAACAAGCTACACACCTGGATTTATGATGGGAGAGTATTTAAAAGCTGCACTCAAACTTAGGTTTTCCTAGTTTGGATTTCATATAGCAGTAATCAGAATGTTCTGAATCACAGGGCAGGAAACTTGAGACCTATTCTCTTGCAATTCATGTGTTAGTACTTGTGTCCTAATGTGCAGCAAGTACGTTTTACTCCCAATACACATTACTGGTTATAACAAGTAAACCCCTCAACAACAAGCAACACCCACAAGGTCAAGGTCCTCTGGTGTGTGTCCTCCACCACCATGATAGCATGGTTACATTCAGATTTAAAACACCTAGACGAAGCTGCGAGTCAGAATTGCATTAAAGCAGCCCACCCACATGCCACAGACCATGAGGGGTTACGAGGAACCTAAACCAGTAATGTAAAATGATGATGGTATTACCCATCATGTGGCAGAAAACTCAGTTTCTTCAGGAATGTTCCAGTTTAATCTGGTGTGGTTCTCAGTGAAGGTGTTTGGGTCCGAAAGAGTGGGCACAACGCTCTTTTCCTTTATTTTTGCACTTTGTTCCACATCAAGAATGAGGTATTAGTCAAATAATAATAATAGTATTAATAATAATTAATAATAATAATAAAAACACACTATTTGAGAGCTACTGGTTTGTGAAACAGACTCCAATCCTGCAGTCGTGTTTAAATTGTGGACATAAAAAGGATGGTTGAACATAACCTGTAATGGTGTAATGTTATCCGTTCGTGTTGTTGTCGCTTGCAGGCTTTTCCCCTGTGAAAGAATAGTAGTTATTCTAGTTGTGTGAGTAAGCTGTAGCACATTATTGTTTCTGTGGGAAAGAATTTCATCACTTTGTTTTAGCAGCTGTACCTGTCCTACACACACGGTGTAGAAAACGTGTAAAACGAGTCAGCTGGTCCCTGCAGGACACTGGTCCTGACCGAGGGGTCACCCCCTGCATGTTCGGCCATTTCGACTCTCTAAACTTTAGTTGTGTCCTCGTTGTTCGTGTTTGGATGTTAATCGTGGAATTATTTGGACAAAGAGGGCCAGCGGTGGTTAGTGACTGCACTAATAGACCATGCAAGCAGTTTGTTTCTTTTTTATCAGTAAGTTAAATTATATTTCTGTACTGTATTTAGCTGGTTGAATGGGGGGAAATGCTGCTTGCTCAAATATGGGCTGAAATATGATGTGTTGGTGCGGCTGGCTGGCTGGGTACCGAAACTCTTAAGCTGACCGAGGATAGCTAGCAGAGGCTTCGGGGCGTCGCTAAACAGCACAACTCTGCCACCCTGTTGTGAAAATTGGTTACTGCAGTGTCTTTAAAACTTGAGCTCTAAATATTTTAAGCTTTACATATTTAAAAATAATCAGCTGCAAAAATGTGTAATTTTTTTAGTTAATCATTGAAAATATAAAAATATATAATTACTTAAAACAAATTAAGATGGTTGCATAGTCCAGCTGCACCGTCCATCCATTTTCTCCACTTATCCAGGGTCGGGTCGTGGGGGCAGCAGCCTTAGCAGAGAGGCCCAGGCTTCCCTCTCTCCAGCCTCTTGGGCCAGCTCCTCCGGGGGAATCCCAAGGTGTTTCCTTGCCAGCCGAGAGACGTTGTTTCTCCAGCGTGTCCTGGTTCTCCTGGTTGGGCGTGCCTGAAATATCTCACCATGGAGGTGTCCAAGAGGCATCCTAACCAGATGCCCGAGCCACCTCTATTGGCTCCTCTCGAAGTGGAGGAGCAGCGGGTCTAATCCGAGCCTCTCCCAAATGACCGAGCTTCTCACCGTGTCTCTAAAGCCGGGCGTACACTGTGCGACTTGTTCACTCGTAGCACTCAGCTTCAGCTCAAACTGTACGACTTCCTTGCAGGGCAGATCTCACGAGCCACGCGCTCACACTGTACGACCCAGTTCTCGGATGTAGGGTTGTCACGGTAACCGGTATAGCGGTAAACCCCGGTAAAAAAGTTGACAATAAAAGTAACCGTCCAGTTTTTAAAAAACTATATTATCTCGGTGGGTTTACCGTGGCCGCGGTTTCGGCGCGATGACCCTTACCAGCCACCGTCGCTTCAGCTGAAGTTCCCGCGGCGCGCACACGCACTTTTTAATTTGCAACGGCACCAAAACTTTGACGCTGAAATAATGGCCGAAGGAGGAGGCGGCAGCGCCCAGGACATCCATCAGCCCTCAAAGAAGACTAAATCGGAAGTATGGGCATATTTTGGATTTCTGAAAAATGCTGAGGGACAGTTAATAGAAGACGGCTATCCCGTGTGCAGAACGTGCCGGAAACAAGTGTCTGCAAAAGGCAGCAACACTTCGAATCTAATGGCACATCTGCGTGACGATCACCCACGTCTCTACAGCCAGTGCAAGGTAAGTTAGCATTAGCATTTTAGCTTAAATGCATGACGCGAGGACTTTTGGTTGAGGGAGAATGCAACGAGTCACTACATACTGCAGCCGCAGCGTCCTCTGCCAGCATTTAAACCGTGTCACGGACACCCTGTTGCTGGATGAAGCATCTTATTTGTTGATGATGAAGAGAAATATACAATTAGTTCCTTGTCATTGATTTGTTTACTTATTCAATGCCATTTATACTTGAACATTTGGATTTGATTACATAGTGTAGTAGTTATTTTAGTAATTTGTTTAAAGTGGCCATTTATTTTAAATACATCTTTTTTAAGGTTGACTTGTACAGCGCTCAAGTCAAGTGTGGACTGGAGTTTTAGATTTTCATTTTGATAATGAAGAAAACAAGTATATGAGAAAACAAGTGGTGTTTCTTTGATTTGTTTACATATTGTTTATGTTTCGAATGATTGGATTTGTATAATTTAAACCTGCACTGACTACTGTAACATGTTCCAGAAAAATAAGCTATTTGTTCCTTTACTTGTGAAAAGTTGCACTTTTGCTAAGACTTTGTGTTATTTTAGGCTTAATAAACACTGTTAAACATTTTCAGAACTATTTCAGTTTGTGTAGAACAGGACTATCAATGCTTTCTGAACATATGCAACACCGTTTAAAAAATACCGCGATAATACCGAAAACCGTGATAATTTTGGTCACAATAACCGTGAGGTTAAATTTTCGTACCGTGACAACCCTACTCGGATGCGACCTGACTGCTCACACTGTACGTCTGGTAGCAACACGTTGGCCCTAAAAATTTGCTAAAAATAGCAGTTTTTACTCAACACGTCAGACTTTTTAGTCTTGTTTTGCCTGTTGTCCTTCGGGAGTGCTGCAGGAGGACACACAGGGATTTATGGGGGTTGGATGAGGAAAACGAAATAAAGAAAGTAAATCTGTGTTTAGTGATCAGTTTAATTTGACATGAACACGACAAACACGCTTTCTTGACAATCTTTGTGAGTAAAAAAACGTGTAGAGATAAAAACGAACAGCGTGTGTTATTAGGGAAATAGCGACCGGCGTTGATGCAGGATTGCGCATGCGCCGTGAGCGGTTCTGATACTTTCTGGGTCGCAGCTGCTCGCAGCGCCGCTTCAACAGTGCGATACCCTCACGAGGGACGAGCGAAATTTTAAACACGCCAGAAGTCCGTGCGACCTCACGACTGCTGATCGGCAGCTGGTCACGTGGTGTTAATCGCCTCTCGTAACCCCCTGTACACTACACGACCGCTCGGCGCAAGACTCGCCCCGATGTCGTGGATTCCCGCACGACTGGAAAATCGGCTCAAAAAGTGAAAAAGTCGCACAGTGTCCGCCCGGCTTAAGGGAGAGTCCAGACACCCAGCGGAGAAAACTATTTCGGCCGCGTGTACCTGCGTTCTCGTTCTTTTGGTCACTCCTCAAAGCTCGTGACTATAGGTGAGGGTAGGAATGTTGATTGACCGGTAAATAGAGAGCTTTGCCTTCCAGCTCAGCTCTCGTTTCACCACGACAAATCGGAACAACGCTCGCATCACTGCAGAGGCAGTACCCATCCACCTATCGAGTTCCTGTTCCACCTTTCCCTCACCGAGATTCTCAAGCTCCTCCACTTGAGGCAGGACCTCGACCCTGACCTGGAGACGGCATTCTGCCCTTTTCCGAGTCAATACCGTGGTCTCGGATTTAGAGGAGCGGATTCTCTTCCCAACCATTTCACACTCGGATCACAGTCTGATGAAGCCAACAGAACCACTTCCAGACCCGATCCTTAGGCCACCACCTTGAAATCATGTCCACAAAAGTCATTAACAGCATCGGTGACGGAGTGCAGCCTTGGCGGAGTCCAACTCTCACCGGGAATGAGTCCAACTTACTGCCTGCAGCCAGTGCTCAACTAAGGCTACGTTCACACAAAAGCGCATCACATCAGATATTTTTTCCACATGTGACCTATATGGACAGTCTGACCAGCACAGATCCAATATTTTTTTGTTTGTTTGTTTTGGCTAAGAATATCTTTTTGTTTATTTACTTCTGCTATCTTGCTTTTATTGATCGTAAGGTAGGAGGAGCCGCTCGACAACGAGATGGCTCAAGCTGTTCTTATCCTCCTAAAGTTTAAGTTAATGAATAAATAAATACCAGTAATAAAAAAATTGCATCAACTTTGACAATTATTTGTCAAAAACTTCTTCATGAACTCTTATTTGATTGATAAATTAGGCATTGGTCTGTTGTTTTTACATGTAGTTTGATGACTGAAGTCAGTTTTTGATTAATACACAATTTGAAGTAAAGAAAGATGTTATGAATCGGCTGTTTTTTGATAATTTTGTCTGCAGATCCACAAGTTTTCTGAGCAGCTAAAGGATGCAGCAGAGAAAGCCCATATCAAAAAGCCAGTTCCTGGGAAAGCCAACGGGGTCCTGGCCCTGAAACAGCCCATCTACATCGAAGCCTACGTGGGCGCCATGGCTTTCCTTGGAAACCAGAACAAGTTGGGTTATTGCATGGCGAGAGGGAATGTTGGCTTTTAAAATGAAGGTTTACTCTTTGATTGAATAGTTTTCCTCGGGTTTTCTTTTTCCTTTTGAGTCAGATTTAGGTTTGTTTGCATAATTAATAGACATTTTCCTCTATTTGAAAAAGGGTTAGGGTTAGATGTTCTGTGTGTTGTTAGTTCTCTTGGCTCATTATCATCAGTGAATGGCATCTCTGAAGAATACTCAAAAACATCCACATATTATGCCCCTCTTCCTCCGTTGACAGTAACCCTGCTGGCTTCAGGAGCTTTTTATTAGTGTTACGGTAACTCAACACTTCCACAACCAAACTCCTTTCTTTGTCCCTTTCCTGGTGTTCCTGTTAAGCTCATTCCTGTGCCATTCCGCCATTTAGACCCACTGGAGCACACGGGCACATTTTTCAGCTTCGGTTTTATCCTTAAACAGACATTTTACAGTGCATACAAAAGTGTAATCCACCCTTGATTTTCGACTTCATCAAATTTGATATTTTTGTAGTTTCATGTTTCCATAATTTTATGACTTAAGGAGTTTCTGCTTTTTTAGGAGTTCCAGGATATTTATTTAACATTTCTGCACCAAATATTTTACCTTTTAACATCACGGTCAGCTGTTTTCTTTCTGTGGTTACTAGAGAATTACAGCAGCGTTGGCTCAACACTACAGCAAATGATTGCTAGAGCTAACTAAACACATCCACATGGTGTTTAAGAAGGAAATGAAAGCATGAATCAGATTTTTTTTTTGTGTGCCGTGCAATATTTAAAGAAAGATTTTAGCCTGTTCCATATGTGTGTTTGTGCTGGTTTGTTGCGAGCTGTCATTACTAAAGGAATCCGTTCTATGTGACGTTGGGATTTGGGCTTTTGGGCTTGGAAGTTTTGATTTACCAGAGTGTGAATTATGCTTAAAATGTGTGATCAGCTTCTCATTAAAGTTAATGTTGAGAATATGTTGATGTATTGTTCCATCTGTTATTTAATGCATCTGCAGGTAAAACGCTTGCAGGCCAGCTTCATTCATAGACGTTAGAAAGCATCACTTCCCTCCATTTCTCCAACAAACTCTAGAGTTTTCAGGAAAATGTTGAAAGAAAATATATATTTTATATATATGTAGCATAATTTGACATGTAATTTGCAGAGAGGACACATTACAGCTACAGAGGTAAATTTAGGCTACATTTGAGGCTTGAGCAGACGGTGCAACCCCGTCTGATCTTGTCTCGTGTCCATACGTGGGTCCAGGTCAGTGGGGCAGCAGCCCCGTCAGCGGGGGCAGGTTTGTCCTCCTTCCAGCTGCTTCTGCCAGCTCTTTAAGATGGATCTCATGCCAGACGAGAGATATAATCCTCAGTGTGTCCTATTGGATGGGCATAAAACTTCCCTCAGGAGTTGTCCAGAGGCCCTCCTGATCACATGTCTGGATCACCTCAGCTGGCTCCTCCTTATATGGAGAAGCTGTAGACCTACTCAGAGACCTTAAATGGAAATTAGAGGTCTTTGCCTTATTTTTATTGAGTCTGACCGCTCTGTAGAGGAAACTCCTACTGACTACCTGTATCATAACCTTTTTTAAGTCATTCAAATCTCATGACCTTTGGTAAATATTGGAATGAAGAAAGATGAGGGCTGTCCCATCAAACTTCCAGCTTTAGATCAACATCCAGAATCTGTTTAGGAATAAGAGGTAAAGAGAAGTGTACAGGCTCCACAATCGTCCACTAAATCATCGGTTTTCAGACCAAGAAACTTTGCTTAAGGCCAAGAAGAAAAACATCTGGAAACACATTTATTGCCTTAGTAAAACTGGTGGGAAAAAAAGATTTTACCAGGTGTGAAAATTATCCTCATTTACTTGTCAGTCAACCCGTTTCTGTTGGTGAAACTATACAGATTTATGTCCTGTTCACAGCTCTCAAATGGCTCCAGAAGAGGAAAACTACAATCTAATGCCATAAATGCAACTGGAAGCTGGCTGTACTGGAACTGCACACCATATTTGTTAGCATTTGTGACCAAATGACGGACCACTACTGCGTGTTCCTGCTTCGTGCGTTTACAAAACCAAATCGTTACAAGTGAGCATGGTGGAAGAGGCTGGTGGACCACCCGTGACCTCTTCCTGCTTTCTGGTGTCCAACTAATCCTTTATTTTGGGTTATAATGTTACAAATAGCATTTGTCCAGTGTGAATACTTGATTTCATCATGGGAATGGTGAACTGAATTTTCCTGTTATTGTTGGTGGGCAAGGTTAAGTAGTGAGTGACTTGGGGAATACATGCAGCTGTAATTCTTCAAGGTAAATTATAAGGCTGAGTTCAGCACCTTTGGTATCATGTATCATGACCCGAGGGTTTGAAAGGGTTAACGCACTTCCTCCCAGAATGAGGACGTGTCTCTTATCCCAGATCAAGCACGGCTCTGGCCTGCAGCAAAGCACCCATTCATATTTCTGCTCTTTAAGTTGTAAAAGATGTTCAGAGAACAGGATTAACGAGCAGATAAGTGAGCGTTCATGAGGTTTCCAGCCCCAAAGGAACGTTACAGTGGAGTCACCTGGACATGCAGACAGGTGATGTAAATTAGAAAATGTTCATTAGTCTCTATAGGCACACATTTCATCTGATTGTTTTATTCTGCACCAGCCATGCATTTACCTTGCAGCAGGCAGAGAAGTAGAAGAAGAAAAGTTAACTTGTCGTGCCGTTCTAGATAAAAATGACAAGGTGCTTCGCAGGTTTATTTTGTTTTGTTTTGTTTTTACAAAATTTAAACCAGGGAGACAGAAAAAAACATTTACAGGGTATCCGCGGGTCCTTAAAAAGTCTTAAATTAGCTTTTCCAAATTTAAGGCCATAAAAATGACAAATAATCCTTAAATACAGTTTCCAGAGGTCTTAAATGACCAAAGACCCAATAAACAAGATTTTTTTTCGTTAAGATTTTCGTGAATTTCTAGTTAGTGTTCAGCAATTTTGTGTACGATGTTGGCGTAAGCGGAACCGTACACGTTCAGTTGGTTGTGAAAGGGGGCTATTTTTAGTTGAGCTTGTTAGCTGGTTAAGCTAGTGGGAGCTTGCGCCGTGGGGAAGTGGAAGTTTAATGGTTACTGGATGGCTAATCCCACGATCACGGCGTGGTTAGCACCGGTTCCAGGCAATAGCTGGAAATTATAGCTTAAATTTAATCTTTAAAAATGATAAATGACCCGCACTTGTATAGCGCCTGTCAGAGTAAGGACTCCAAAGCGCTTTACACTACAGAGCATCATTGATCCATTCACACACACGCATTCACACCTGATGGTGATGAGCTACGATGTAGCCACAGCTGCCCTGGCCGGTCCCTCCGACCACCACCAGCAGGCAAGGTGAGTTAAGTGTCTTGCCCAAGGACACAACAGCAGAATTCTGTCCGGAGCCGGGATCGAACCTGCAACCTTCCGATTACTGGACAACCCGCTCAGCCTTTTGAGCTACTGCTGCCCTGCTTAAACAGCTTAAATTTGGTCAAAGTGGCCTTAAAAAGGTCTTAAAAAGTCTTAAATTTGACTCCCTTAAACCTGCAGATACCCTGATTTAACCAGAGAACAATTTCAGATTATGAGGTTTATTACAATTTCTTAGGAATTTTGTTAACCCGGCATCATGCTGTTTTAAACGAAGATCATTTCATTAAGAAACGGTGTTGTAGATGTTTTGCAGATTTTAAAAAAATGACTATTTTTACACGACTGAACTGCGTTAAAGTGACTCCGCTACTACCGGTTCTATATTTTAGCTGAATATCTGTATAACGGTCGTCTTGAGCTGGATGCACCTCAAAGGTCAGTCAGCTGCTGACCCCTCCATCGACTTCTTTCTACACATTTCTAAAAAAAAAAAAAAACTTGCTATCAAAACAGAATAAGCTGTCCCATTAGAGAAGGAGAATCATACAAATTCACTTTCTTTTATCAGAGTATAAAATAAGTATGAGGGCTGAGATGTGCGTGCAGGAGTCGGGAGGGTGTGTTTCTTGGAATGACTCACCTTTGTCCTCACATGATCTTTTTTTTTTTTCCATTCAAGATCATTATGTTCAGCCCTGGAGCTAAAACAAACTGCTTCGCTCTTCAGATTATATGACACTTCTACATGACTCGAGAACAAACAGTGCAAACCTACCACAGAGTGCATAAAAAAATCACAAAATTATTGTGAAAGTGGGTAAAATCTCAACATTTCTAAAAGGTTTGTTGATGAAACGCCGCACAGCAGCTCCCATAAAGTACACATCAATAGTTAGTCAGCCTGGACAAGATAAATCACCTTCAGTTCTGACTGCATTCCTTTCTGCAAAGGTAAGCCATTGCCCTGGGCTAGATAATATAGTTTGTGCAATGCTCCACATTACTTTGCAGCAGCAGTACATCAAAGTAATCACCTTGCAGTTTGTGTCTATTGACTGACACAAGCGAGCACTAATGAGGAGTCAGAATGATGTGTTAGTTCTGTTAACCTCAACTTGTTCTGTTTGTTTTGTACCATCACACGGCTCCAGCTTCTCTTTGGAGCGCTATTTTTATTCATCAAGTCATTTGGAACATCGTCTTTGACCTGTTAATGGTTCCAATGGTTAAAAATAACTATTTATTTAAAAATGGAATAAAATCCCGATAATAACGGTCTGAGGGTTCATGAGGAGCAAGGGTTTTAGAAGACATTAGGTCGGCGCTGGACCATTTAGCTGGTTAACATGACGCCTGCTGGAGTGTCTGGTAATAAGTGGGTTTCTCTGGAGGTCAAGGCCACCGCATCTCCCAGCGGAAGTCTTTACGTCTAGCTTGACAGGTCCAAGTGGTTATTTTGCTGGATTGTGATACGAGATGTGTGTTCCCTCTGCCCTGAAGTGGAATCTGATCAGCAATTGAGAGGCTCAAAAACTACCCATCAGTGCCCGTGACCCTGGATGGCCCCGGCTAACAACCAGAGCTGCTTGGGATGCTTGAGGCGAGTAACATAAGACAAATTCTGCAAGACACTCTTGCAATCCTGGTGTGGCACGCAGTCTTCTCACCCCCCTTAAATACCTACCGTGCCCTCCGATATGCCAGCTTGGAAACAGGGTTGCTTCTCTCAGGTCGTGCATCCTCAGGTCACCATTTTCATTTATCTGACATCCACGTCGCTTGTTTGTTTGGTAAACATGTTACACCTGTCAGAGGAATGCTGGTTGCCAACGGACCACGTCCAGCAGCGTTTCCTGTGTTTGGTGGTGCGTTCCCCTTCTCACCTTCCCAGGTTTTCCATCTGCTGCCCTGGCAGCAGTGAAAACAGTGAGTGTGAAGGAGTGAATGTGTGAGGCACAGCGAGCGTGTGTGTGTGTGCGTGTTTTGTGTTGGTGCAGAGAGAGTGCTGGTTTCTTGTCTGAACTGCTGTCTTGTAATGGAGCTAGAGACGCTGTTTTTATTTATCCCCCCCCCCCCCAGCTGTCACTGTTGTGTCTGGAGTGAGATTGCTGAACTCAGGGACATGGGACTCTTGGAGAACTGTCAAGTCCACTAACCCTCCCAACTATGCAGAATGTTACAGCCCAGAACACACCCCGGATTCTGGTTGTGGAAAACAAAAGCTGAGAAGGATCTTCAAGAACTCAACAGTTTTCATCCGACCTTCTTACCCATCAGTTTTAAACAAGTTTCTCCCTGTTTTTGTTGTTTTTGTTCTACCTTAGAGCATCCCTTGGCTACAGATTTGTTGATATATTTAGAAACATTTTCACACTAATAAATATGAATTGTCCTAAACCTATATATATATATATATATATATATATATATATATATATATATATATATATATATATATATATATATATATATATATATATATATGAGATATCTGACATCATTTGCTGAGAAAAATGGAGTTTGTTTTCATAGTGCATCTCTTGGTTCTTATTAAACA